AATTGATAAATGCCACGACCTAGCTAGCAGGTGACTTCGTGACATTCGAACTGATCAGGCATGCGGTCCAAGTTGCGGCATTCTATAAAATATTATTTCCAGCTTTATATATTACTAATAAAACCCACGAACTAAAGTTTAATAAGGCTTCCTGTTTACGATTCTCTATTTGGTTTTAATTTATTGAATACGGGACAAAGATAAAACAAAATAACACGGATGTGTTATTTTCTTTTCAAGACACGTGCTATGTTTTCTTCATGCATTAATATATTTACTTTTTTCACATTTGAGTGAAAATAGAACTTTTCTTCGTAGGATTCAACGACAGACAACATGTTAAGATGCACTCCAATAACATGTTCTACAAAGAACTGCAAAGATCTCTCTCTGATAGAAAGGAATATATAGCATAATTTTTTTTCTTTTTCTTCTCTTTTATCTTTTTTTTTCTCTCTCATATTTTCCCCTTCCTCAAGATCCATTTTATAGCCAAAAATTTTTCTTATAGTGGAACAACCATGATAATTCTTCTTTTCTTATAGTGGAACAACCATGATAATTCTTTTTCTTCTTTTCTTATAGTGGAACAACCATGATAATTCTTCTTTTCTTATAGTGGAACAACCATGATAATTCTTCTTTTTATTTATTTAAAATACACCAAAGTCCATGTAAATTGAATAAACCTAAAAAGAGAAAAATAGGACCTAGAACTGTAGATTGCATGTTCTTAGGTTATGCTCAAAATAGTGACCTAAAAAGAGAAAAATAGGACCTAGAACTGTAGATTGCATGTTCTTAGGTTATGCTCAAAATAGTGCTGCTAGTAGATTTCTTGAGAACTGTAGATTGCATGTTCTTAGGTTATGCTCAAAATAGTGCTGCTAGTAGATTTCTTGTTATCAAAATTAAGCAACAATAATCTAGTAGCTGAAAATACTATTATTGAAAGTAAAAAATGCTGATTTCTTGAAGATAATTTTCCTATGAAAAGTAGCTTTGAAAATTTTAAGGTTCATAAGGACTAACAAGATGTGGTTTGTGAAGACTCACAACAAAATCCCGAAAATTCTGAAATAGAAATTCGGAGGAGTAAAAGAGAGAAAATCCACTAATTTTGGTGATAACTTTTACATATTTCTTTTGTATAATGATCCAGTTACGTATAATGAAGCGATATGCTCCAGAGACGCACCATTTTGGAAGGATGCGATCAATTCTAAATTGAATTCTATCATATCCAATCATACTTGGAAGGTGGTTGGTTGATTTGCCACATGGTGCTAAACATATACGTTGTAAGTGGATCTTCAAAAGAAAGCTTAAAGTTGATGGTTCAGTTGAAAAGTATAAGGCTAGGTTGGTAGCTAAGAGGTTCACCCAGAAGAAAGACATAGACTATTTGATACCTTCTATTAGAGTTCTAATATCTTTGGCATCAATTCATAATTTATTTATTCATCAAATGGATGTCAAGAAAGCTTTTCTGAATAGCAATCTAGATGAAGAAATATATATGAATCAACCTGAGGGTACTATCATACCAGGAAATGAGTAAAAAGTATGCAAGTTAATTAAATCTTTATATGGGTTGAAACAAGTGCCTAAACAATGGCATGAAAAATTTGATAATGCATTGTTATCAAATGGTTATTATATAAATGATGCATATAAGTGTGTTTATTTTAAAACATTTGAGAATCATCAGTATGTCATTATGTACCTTTATGTGGATGATATGCTCATCTTGAGCCCTAGTCTTGAAGTAATAAGTGAAACAAAGAATTTTTTATCCTCCCAATTCGATATGAAGGATCTGGGAGAGGCTAATATAATTCTTGTGATTAAAACCCTTAGAAATACAGATGGTTTCACTTTCACTCAAGAACATTATGTGGAAAAAGTTTTGAAAAAGTTTGAATATTATGATAGTAAGCCTGTGTCTGTTACTGTACTCAACTCCTTGATTGAGGAGGAGTTCAGATCTGCAGATCCGGACTCATTGGAGACCGGAAGGGCGTTGTAAGGTTCAGCTAGCGCAACAACGGGGGCGTTGATCTTCCTTCGCTTGCGAGAGGCGGAGGATCTGGAGGAGGAGGACGACTGATATTCCTCGAACTTCAGTTGGTCGAACTCGTATTCGACCACTTCTTCAACCGGGATGCAGATCCGAGGTTGCGACACGACAGCTCCGGAAGCGAAGCTGTTGTCTCCCACTGTGGTCGCCAGTTTGTTTGCGTCGAAAATTGATGTATTCATTGCGGTATTCATTACAACTTCAATCGTTACAATGAAAACAAAAAAAGATTGTCTTTTTATAAGACTTTTACACAATGAAAACAAAAGTTTACAACTCTCGTCAAAACAAACGCAGAGATCGTTTATCGGTCTTCTGCTTGCGTGGGATCTTTGCCTGTGCCGGGGTTTATCCGTGGACCGCCTTAGATCTGGATCCGGTTGATGAAAAATTTGGCAGAGCTTCGCCTTCGCCGAGGAAGTATTTGATTTGAAGCGCTGAGATCGACCAAGCGAAATCAGGGCTCTTCTCGAGATTAAGACCAAGCCTAATCTCAAGGGACGGACGGGAACGGGCGTCGGATCTCTCGAACTCTCCTTCTTTATGCCGAAGAACTCGCCAAGATCTGTCAACCCTCGCTGAAATTCGTGCTCCTTTGACTCCACAATCCGGCAGCACCTCCTCGTCTTGATAAGCAATCGCCCCCTCTGAAAGGAGGCCCTATGCTTGTATTTATAGGGCTTCGGAAGCGGTTATTTGGATGAGAACAAGTGATTTGGCCTTATCTTTAGTCAATAACAGCCTAACCACGTTTGTAGATGATATCAAGTCAGTTTGGATGCTCAGGAACCAACAAATCTCGAGAAAAACCATCAAAAACCGAACCGGGTCAAAACAGTGCGCGCAGGACAAGTCTTACCCGCGCTTGCGCGGGTCAGCGCGGTCCGACCCGCGCGGCCGCGGGTCGGCACGGTCCGACCCGCGCGGACGCGGGGTTTTTTGCTTTGTTGAGTTCTTCGGTGTTTTCCGGCTTTTCAGGGCTTGTGTTTTCCACCGTTTTGCGTGTTTGACCATCTTGTTGACTTGTACGCTTCGTTGCAGAATTGACCGTCAAACGCGTGTTGATTGACGCACGCATGTTGATTGACGTATGCGAACTGATTGATGCCCACGAATTGGTTAAAATGCACGAGCTGAATGATGCGTGCGTGTTAACTGACTGTTGGGCGCGTTTGTACGCTTTGAGTTGATTAACGCGTGCGGTCCACTTGGCGTTTGCCCTTGTGGTGGTTCGTTGTCGTGTCATCAACAGTTTACCAATTCGCTTCATGCGCTTGTCGGCGTTGGATAATCCTCTTTGATTCGGATAACGACGTTCATCACCTTCTCTTTGTCTTGAGCTGTGTGCGGGCACCCACAGGCATTTTTAGACGCCTACAGATACCCCCTCCAAAGTATTTTAGACTCTTTCTTTTATAGAGGAGTCTGGAATGCTTTAGATAAGATAGGTCATCTCCTCAATTTCGTAGAGTGACCTTGAACTATCTCAATTCTTAACTTCTTCAGTCTTCAATCTATTCATTGTTTTGTCGAATAGGTGAAGTTCTTTCGGCGCTGCGTTTATCGTCTGACCACTGTCGAAATCTTGAACTAAGATTGGTGTGTAACTTTCTGAACTTAGCTCGTGCCATTGAGTTGACTTTGAACTAATCCTCTCCGTCGGGAATTCATGTCTGATTGTAACTGAAATCCTTGGAGTCATCTTTTGCCTTATTTTGGCAAAATTGCTGATGCGTTGACCGGCATCGATGTTTACTGTAACGCGTTGACCGGCGTTAACACAGTTTATACTCGTACGTTTGCTGGAGTCTACACAGTTTAAGCTCTTAAGGCATTGGAGCGTGACGGTCCTGAATGTTGGGCTGCAGGACCAACTATTAAAGCTGATTCATCTGCACGTGTGGATCTTATCCTGAAGTTTGTTGGATGTTTAAGTCATGAGACCAACTAATGAAGCTGATACGTCAATGACTCACACTTATAGAATTTTTGGCAAATTCTCAGCCATCAACGGGTTTGATAAGCCTTTACCGACTACCGTTTGAGTCGGGCTAGCATGCGGATTGTTTAAGTCCGTTCCACATGTAACGTTATGCTAAAAGAGTTAACTCTTTTAGTGCTACGATATTGAATACGTAGACTTAGTTTTTCTCCTATGAAAAGACTAAACAACGACGTGTATCAGACGTAGACTTTAAGGTTTTTGGCAAACCCTCATCGTCGTCGTCCTCAAAGAAGTTACCAAGGAATGAGTTCTCCATATCGTCCCAGTTTTTAATACTTCCGGGCTTGAGACGGTGGTACCAATCGAAGGCTGGCCCACGAAGGGTGCCAACGAATGACCGAACCATCAAGGCTTTATTGCCGGAGATCATACCCAAGTGGGACTTGAAGTAGATCAGATGTTGAGTGGGTGAACCATTCCCGTCAAATGGCGTGAAGTTAATCAGGTTGAACTTCGCCGGATACGGGATCGAATCCCATTCTCTTGG